GAGTAAATGCCTACTTGTACACATCACTAAATTACGACCAGTGGGAGGGTTGGAACGGGAAACCACTGGAAGAGCCAACATTGTTTTACCATGGCTTGACCGAGTTAGCAGCAAACCTTCTTTACAGTGTCTCTGACGAGGTTGTAAACATTGCGAAGGCTTTTGAAGAGAAGACAGGAACTTATTACGTTTTGTCTAACGCAACAAGTTCTTCTTTTATCATATCACATATACATTTTTTTCATCTACTTTTCCCTTATTCCCAGTTAGGGAGTTGTAACCTGGAAAATCCAAAGGCGAAGTAGTCGATGCAAAGAGGAAATAAATGAAGCACGGCTGCTGCCGTGACCCTTTAATTATTTAATCAGCAAAATGTTAACTTTGTTTTGTTTCTAATTTTCACGACGTTTTATTGCATCTGATTGTAACAAGATTTTATCAGATCGTAGCTTCTGATTTTGTTTGCAAGGTTGCCTGTAAATTAATGTGGCAACGTCCATCTGGAATACATAAACTTACCTCATAATTTTAATCAGTTGTCAAGAAATAGACAGTTGGTTCGGAAAACATATAAGTTATTTTAGAATATTTAGTGAAATATGTGGAGAAAACTTGCACCAAGCGTCACATTCCACCTTTAGCTTTCCAAGACTTAGAACTTTCCCTTGTTTTATTAAAGGATGATAATGAATTCACATTTTTAGTAGCTCTTTAATTTCATTTAGTAGCTCTTTAATGTCACTTTGTCGACTGAAAACTGAGGATGGAAAATTCCTTCCAAATTTCACCCGCCGTTACATGAGGAGGATATACCTTTTGGCTTGGTTGTCATCCGGGGCACGGGAGAAATCGTAGGGCTGGAGACACCGAATATTGACAGGGTACTTACACGGAGTCAGCAGCAAATGGGAAGGAAAACCTTGTGGACAGAAAAGTGCAAGGAAAAGATATCCTCTCCTCCAGGGCACCACATCACTCTTGAATCCATATTGTGTTTAATATAATCAGATTTCTTTCACTAAACATCGCGACATTTTTTTAGGAAAGGTGACAAATTTGAGAAATTGAGTCGCACATTTGAGGGAATTTTACACACTTTAGATTCAATTTCAATTCTTCCATGGATATCGAAACAAAAATGTCTAATAATTTTTCAAAAAATTTAGATAATTTTTTGTGGCATCTATAGGTCATCACAATAACACTAGAAACCTCACCCAATCTGACGTTTGGGATCGGCTCTCATCCGCTTGACGTTAAGTAGAAATTACCCGTTAAGGTTGTAAGACTACTTTCATAGTTTCACCTTCAGCTCACACCTTTTAATTCACTTATTTGGCGGTTCTCCGCATCAGCCATTTCGTGAAATAATACAAAATAGGGCACACCTTAGCATAGTTTTGATTATTATGTTTGAGTTTTGAGAAGTATCGTTTGCTTGCATTACCGCTTGCTAAATTAAACTTTTTTCTTGTTGATTCGTGTGACTTACAAACTGAAACTCCTGAATTTCACTTTTCCTCCAGGAAACAAGAACTTTTCTCTAGTTTTTCTATGCATCAAAACACTTCAGTAAAATTATATTTGAAATGATCAATTTTGGCCCCGATTGGATTTGGAATTATATGTCAACCGGCGGTAGCAAACTACTTACAGTGATACAGTCAATCTTGGATAATACTTTCATAATTCTAGAGGAGAACTCGCAATTTGAACGTAATGTGGGTAACTTTTGCAAACAGTTATACTTTCCTATTAGCAGAAAAAAGATTAGTCCGAAAGGTGGGTGGTACACGTAACTTGTAGGAAATTATTACTACTAACTTTTTTATTTAGCAAGTGGATTTTACCGAAGGAACCGTTTTCACTTCATTGATTCTTCCTTGATTGGAAAACCGAACAAGATCCTTTACAGGGAAATTGCATGTTTTCAACTCATCAGCTTTTCCTCAATATATTCATCAACTGAAGTTCTCCTTCATGCGGTTGAAATTTAAATTTAATGATGATTTCAACAACATAAAAGAACACCTCAGTGATCTTAATGTGAATCATCGCAGCCGTCATAAAAGACAGGAAGAAGCATAGGGTTGATGTGAGTCGACTGACTGACTACCTAAATGAAAGGACTACTTAAACCGTCATCATTGATGTTTCCTTTTACACCCAGTGTAGTCAATTTAAAATGTTTCATTCAAGTAACCGTCAGAGCCAGGGTTGTCTTCGTTCCCATTTACTTTCCACTGAGACCAGAAAAAGTCGTAATGCTTTTTGAATTTGTTTTGGTTCTTGGCAAAATGGATAACGTTTCTGTTTTGCTTTCTTTTTCTCCCTTTTTTGTATTTCTTCTTTTCCAAAAGTATGTGTATTTTTTCTTCTTTTCTTCCGGAGGGTAACCATTAATTGTGTATTGGTAGGATTTAAGAAGTCAACAACCAAAGCGCAGCGTTTATCTTTCCTTTAACCGAGCGTCTTAGATGTGTTAGCCTTATGCACGTAGTCTCTCAGTCCATTGTTTATCCACCAGTAAAATTTATTTCCATCAGATATCGGCAGCCAATTATTTACGAGCTGAAACGGCGGATGAAAAAAATGAAAAAGGGTTTGAGCACCAGTTTAAAGCAGGCGCTTTTCGAATTCGATCGTCAGAGCAATCAGCATGGACGATAAATGAAATTTTTATTGAAGGGGTTTTAACTTAAACTTGAACTTTAGTTTTACGCACGCTTAAATTAAGGGTGATGCCTTTCTTATCTCCGCCTTTCATGCTCCTCTAGTGGCACAAATCGTAAGTCCACGTACGAGGATACATAGGATTTATAAATTTTAACTCTGCAAGGCTGATGCCTCTTCAAAACACTATTACCATTGTAAATCATATGCACAATAATCTCCTCTAGGGCAAAACAGAACCGTGGAATCATTACTCTTGAATCCGCGTTGTGTGTGAGGTTATGAAAAACCGTATTCGCCTAAAGTAATCTTACCGTAACTTTCCGTTGGTTGTGTATGCCAAAGAGAATTGAGAGGGGAAGGGAGGGGCTGTAGTTTCACTGTTTCTCGAATACTCTCGCCTAAAAAGCCCTAATGAAGCCTGAACTGTAGTCTCGCGGAGCGAATTGTATCTTGACTCAAGTATATTTCATTCTAAGATCTTTCCTTGGTTGCCTGTTTTACCCATGTTGTCTTCGTTAACGTTAAAATAATATTGTTTGAATATTTTCCCTTGATGCCACGTAATATTTCTGTCGTGTTATATGTAAAATACAAAACGAATAAAGAAAAGCATTTGAATGCTCCAATAGGTCCTTAAACGTTGATCTGAACTCCGAGTAGATGATGATGCACTTATTAAATAAAGGGCGCGCTAAATATCCATCATAGTAATTTATGATTTCACATAGCGTTTCCCAAGATATTCTCTTACGTTGCCTTGTTAGGAAAAAAAAAATTTTGCAAAGATACTGTTTAGTTTCGTCTGAGGGATGAACACAAGGCAATTTGTCTTTTTTTTTTAATTGATTAAGCAAACTTGCAATATGATGCTGCTAAAACAGGTTTCTTTAGTACACTTTTCAATTTGACGAGAAGCCCAACCAGCTGGGACTGGGACTATGGCATGAAGCAGGTACCAGTCATACCCCATACGCCGCTGTGCACTCAACTTATCCACCTATTATGAATAATGAAACGGCACTGTGGGCTCACAATAGAAACCTCGTGTAAAACATAGGACATCACATCAAAAGCACTCTCTAATCATTTGCGTCGCAACCCTACATTCTTTTCTTTTGAATTTTTGTTTCTACCAACATTTAACATAAATGTCGATCCATTGTTGTTCAGGTAACGACGGGATCTCAGAGAAGGAAATCACTGTCAATCTTACGACTGGTAAGTTTATTCCTCGTTTAGAGTAATTTCGATGGCCATGATCTTAGCGACGACATTTGAGCCACTATTATCCCAATAAACTGACTATAGCTTATTTGCCATTCATTAAGCTTTATGCTTCACGTTATGAGATTTTATTATCCTAAGTTCAAATGGCGTGAACAAGGGTATTATTACACAAGTCAGCTACTAGGTTTGTTTATGAAGGGTATTGTATATAGAGTACTCGTCTAAAAAGAAATGCACGTGTTGAAGATTCCAAGGAAGCTGTTTTTCGGGAACTTTTTTAACCTTAAATTGATTAATGAGATTCGGAATTTTCGCTGTCGAATCACATGCTCCATACATAGTATATCCTCAGAACAAATGCAAGTCAGTGAATAGTGAATTTGATGAAGTCAATGAATTAGCTCTATGAAAAGGTAAATATGATGCTGCTCGTCATAAACAGCCTTGTAGATGTACCCTAGTATTATAGATCATTCTATCGAACTACTTTCCATGATTTACTTCATATCGAACCACCAGATGGGGAATTTTCCAACAAAACTTTGTCCACCCGCTCACGAGGACCTACCCTTTCGACGGATTGTTCTAAGGAAACAGATTAGGACGCTTTCACGCGAGACCATTTTGTCAGTGAGAAAATAACAAGTGAAAAGAAGTTACAAGTTTCGACAAGTTAAGAATGTGGCTTATGAGATCAAATACGATATAGTGTTTGTTTAGTCTTTGTAATGTTTGAACTTACTTACCTTGACCCCTTCTTAAAAGCTGCATACTAGCATTTTTACTACTTTCCGAAATAATATTCTTTTCTGTTGTCCTTCTATTTAGAAAACTTTACCGAAGATTCAAAACATATTTTACTGTCCCCATTTTAGCAGTCATTGACAGAGAAATCTTAAGTATTTATATCAAAGGCAAGCCTAGCATTGTTGAATTTATGTTTCCTTGTGAACTAATGTACAGATATTCTGTATCGTTTTCTGGTACCCATTAATTTATTACTTCTTTAGTTGTGATGTTTGATTAATCTGAGTACACTTTCTTGCTTCATTATTTTTCATTTTATTCTCTTTTTTTTTTTAAGATTGTGTCAGGTCCCCAAATTGAGTGGGGCTTGTAATGAGGAAGAGTGCGGCAGGAGAGTACATCAAAGGCTGCTTCAGACCAGTCCGTGTTCTCTCACTGCTTCTTCTCGTCATTACTCTGATTGTTTTATTCAAAGAACTTTGGAGGCGAAAGGAACCTGCAAAGAAGCCTCCTCCACCAGCTCTTGACCTTGGCTGCCTGTATACAGTACACCCTCCACAGGGAACCCAGGCGTGGCAGCTTATATCATTCATTATAAGTCCAACGCCAAAGCAAAAATGCCATGTTGATGCGTGGAACACCATCTGTGGCACGGGGCATGGTGCCTCCAACTTTCGAATACAAGCCTTTGGTTCTCATGAAATGGTTACAGGAAAAGTTCATCACATTGCAAATGATACTTACAACGCCACTCTGTTGTTAACTTTCGCGGATGAGTATATAATCTTGGTCATTTTGACTTATGTAAATAACGACAGTCTTGAGTATCGATATCACGCGAGAGCTGTTTTGCAGCATGTGCTGAACAGTCCCTTTGATCTGACTGTTACCCGGGGTCCGCCTCCGCGAGATCACACTCGTTATTGCACTCGGGAGGAAAGTGGAACTTTCCAAGGAAGGTGGGTGGAATGCGGAAGTATCCCAGGAATCGAGAGATGCGGTCAATGGCAGCTTGACCCCGCCTACGACTTCGATCAAATCCACGGTTTCCATTGGCTGCCATATTTTTGCCAGTTGCATCACTACAGCAGCGATGAGATCAAAAAATGTTTTGCAAAGCAAGGTTGGTCCGAGGTCGTTTTCACCGGAGACTCGCACATGCGCTATAGAACGTATCACTGGGTGACACGACTGCATGGCTCCTGTCACGGTTGTATTAAAACGCACGTAAAAATGGTGTTTGACAAGATCCCACGCATTGAGTGGGTATTTGATGCGCGTGGAACGCGATGGCCACTTACGTTTCCAAACATCTCAATGCCCCACGAGGTTTACGTCCACCCAAGAACAAGACGGTCTATGTTCTCCAAAGGACTACCATCATCCGTATTCAGCGGTAAACTGTTTCTTATGAACTTTGGGCACTGGATTTTGCGAGAGAGCACAAAGGAAACATTCATAAGAGATAAAATTCACGCTTTTCTTGAGGCAATTCGAGTAATGAACCGAACAGGTGAAGGGAAAAAGAGATTTATATGGTTAAACACAGTAAGTCTACCTTGGAGAGAAGATCAGGCGATGGTAGAATGGCTAGAAAATCCATCCCCGACGCGCGTGGCGCAACTAAACAGTCTGACTGACCAGGTTATCAGGGACAGTGGCGTTCAGATCATCGATGTGTTCCAGATATCAAATAGTCGCATAGGCGCCACACACGACCAGACACATTATGCAAAGAGGATGGAGAGGGGGGACTGTGGAGGAGTGGTGGAAAATGCCATCAGTAATGTTATAGCTAATTCTCTATGTAACTATGACAAGTGGTAAGGTAGTTGTTACTGATGAGTGCACGCCTCTCACGTTTAAAAGGCGACTGGATTCTACATGAAGAAGGTGAGAGATGCTTCGGGATTACCAACTTCAAATCACTTAGGAGTTGACCCAATGATCCTTAAGTTCTCTCATCCGTGACAAAAAAAAAATTTAAAAGACAAAACGAATAAATGAATAGATGGATAAACGAGGGCTACCTAAAGCTGGATATACCCTATAGGTGTAAATGAGTCATACTGTCGTATGTCAAGCTTTTGGCCAATGATCATGTAAATGAAAATGATAAAGGTTAAGCCTGGTGATTTTATTGAAGATGAGGCATAGGCATACTCGAAGAAAAGAAAAAACTCCGAGTTCTCTTAGGGACTCAAACCTAAAATCTTCGTATTAGTACTTCCGGTTAGTACTTCTACTACTGAGAACTACTGAACTATAGGAGACTCGTAGCAGGCTTGGCCGTTCAACTAGGTTTTACCTGTTTCCGGCTTATTGCTGCCATGACGGTGTAAAGGAAAATGGTACCATGCATTTCAGATGCTTTACCACTGAGCCATAAGAGACTGCAGACAGGCTTGGCTGTTTAACCAGGTCCATGGTTCTAGCATATTGTGTTCTGTCATGCGTTGCTTTACTCCCGTGCGCATCAGGCATGCCGATAATTCTTGGTTCTAGCGGTTGCGGTATGTGCTCGCACAGTGTTCGAGACATTCTTGTTTTCGAATAAAATAATGGTTAAACTGCTAAAGAATGCCTTGTCCTCGAGGATTTGATCTTTAACCAGGAAACGAGACTGTTAGGTCAGAACATCTTGCAAGGATGGGACTATCGAATCTAGGGCTTTTGCATACAAACGATGTTAATTGAGATGGTAAGTGTTAAGCTTGTGAAAGGAGATATATTCGATGAATGACAAAGGCTTACTCGGTGAAAAAAGGAACTTCGAATGCTCCCAAACGGATTTGTGCCTATTCATCAGTGCTCCGTATGCTCAACCGCTGTGCTGTAGAAGAATCGTGCCAGCCAAGATGGTATATGTTAAGCCTTGAGATATAAAAGAAATCTGACGTACTCAGTGAGTGACATAGGCGAAGCTGGAGTAAAGAAAGGAAATCAGAGTATTTCTGGTGGGACTAGAGCCTACAACCTTCTAATTAGTACTTCCGATGCTCTACCGCTGAGTCATAGCAGACTCGTGGCAGGTTAGATGGTAAAAATTAAGTCTTGTTATATAAGTGAAAGATGATGTCATTAGGCATCAAGAGGCGCAAAGGTTATGTGAATGAAAATGGCAAATGTTACAGAGATAGTCAGAAAAAGTTTGGAAATCGGAGTCCTTTCAATAGGACTTGAACCTTGGACCCTCCATTAGTAGTTTGGATGCTCTACCGCTGAGCCAAAGGAGACAGGCTAGACAGTGAAGGCTTGTGATTATTGAACCTTGTAATTTAAGCGATAGATGATGTATTCAATGAATGAGGCAGGCATACTTGGAGAAAAATTGGAACTCCGAGTGTCTTTAATTTCGGATCCTTTACCACTCAGCTATAAGAGTTTCGTGGGAGGCGCAATTACTATTTAAATGAAGATGGCTAATGTTAAGCCTGGAGATATAAGTAACTGATTATGTATTCAGTGAATGACACAGGGATAGTCAGAGAAAAAAGGATAACGGAGTACTCTTGATAGGACTCGAACTTACGACCTTCAAATGAGTACATCCGAGGTTCTACCGCTGAGTCTTTTGAGACTCGTGGCAGGTTAGCGGGTTAATGTTAAGCCTTGTGATCTAAGTGATGGATGAAGTAGTCAGGGAATAAAACAGGTATACTCTGAAAAAAAAGGGAGCCCCGAGTTTCCCCAAGAAGACCCGAACCTGCGACTTTCCGTTTTATACTTCGGGTGCTCTACCGCTGAGCCACAGGAGACTCGCGGGAAGCTACATGGTACATCTTGAGCCTGCTGATTTAACTGAAAGATGAAGTAATTAGTGAATAACGCAGTGAAAAAAGGAAAATCCAAGTACTCCCAGTAGGACTTGCACCAAAGACCTTCCGATTAAAACTTCGGATGCTCAACCGCAAGGCCAGAGGAGACTCCAGTTAGGCTAGATGGTAAATGTTTAGCCTTGTGATGCAAGTCGGATAGATGATGTATTCAGTTAATAAGACAGGTATACTTAGAACAAATTGCAACTCCGAGATTTCCCGATAGGACTCAAACCATGCGATCTTCCAAGTGGTATTGCGGATGTTCTACTGCTGAATCACAGGAGACTCGTGGTAGGCTACATGATAAATGTTAAGCCTCCTCATTTAACTGAAAGATAAAGTAATCAGTGAATAACAAGGGAAAATTGGGAGAAAAAAAAGAAATCGGAGTACGACTTTTCGACTAGTACTTCGGATACTCGACCCTGAGTCATAAGAGATTCGTGGAAGTCTAGACTGTAAATGTTAAGCCTTGTGACGTAAGTAAAAAAAGGTTGTTTTTCAGTGAATGATACAGGTATATGCGGAGCAAAAAAAAAAACACTTTGAGTGCCGTTAATAGGACTCGAACGTACGACCTTCCACTTAGTACTTCCATCCCCCACCGCAGAGCCGTGAGGGACTCCGGGCATGTTAAATGGTAAATGTTAAGACGGGTGATTTACTCGATTGATAATGTTTGCAATGAATGAGAGACATGGTCGAAAAAGAAAGGATCTCTGAGTGCTCCCAATAGGACTCGAATATACGACCTTCTATTTCAGTAGTACTTCCGATACCATGCCGCTGAGCCACAAAAGACTCCTGGCATGCTGGATGTTAGATGTTAATCTTGGTGTCTTAAGTTAAAGATGATGTATTCAGCAAATGACAAAATTAGGGGACGACCTTCCGATTCTCACTTTGGATGCCCTACCAAGTTATAGAGGACTCGTTGCAAGCTAAATGGTAAATGTTAAGCTTTTTGATTTATGTGAAAGACGATGTTTTCTTTCAAGAAGACAGGCAACTCAGAGAAAAAAGATAGTTCGCGTGCGCGGCGATAAGTGAAAGAGGATGTATTTAGTGAGTGACTCAGGCATAGGAGAGTCCAATGTGATGCTTTTGCGCAATGAGCTTTGACTGGGGATAGGAAATGTAAAACCTGATGATTTAGGTGAAAGATGACGTATTCAGTAAATGACAGAGGCGTACTTAAAGAAAAAAAAAGAACTCCCAGTCTTTCTAGTTGCAAGCGAACCTACGACCTTCAGATTAATACTTCGGATGAGCCTTTGGAGACGTGTGGCAGGTAAGGTAAAAGATGTTAAGCCTGGTGATTTGAGTGAAAAGTAATATATTCAGTGAAGGACATAGCCTGAAACTCTGCGGTAATAAAGAACTCCGGGTGCTCCCAATACAACTTCAACCTTCGACCCTTCGATTAGTGTTTCGGATGCTCTAGCACTGAGCCATAGGAGAGTCGTGGCAGGACTGGCCATTTATCCAGGTCCATGGCAACAAACTTTCAGTATACTGCTAGCATGGGAATGTCGGACGTTCCAACGCCAGCAGTAGGTACAAGTGCTACTTTTGCGCAATAATGACGTAAACGAAGATGGTAAATTTATGTCTGAAAGATGATTATTCATGACCATTGCAAGAGGAAGGTGATGTATTCAGGGAATGACACAGGCATACTCGAAGAAAGAAAAACTTGCGAGTGCTTCCAATAGGAGTATGTTGGAAGTTTTCATCGTGGCCTAGCCCGTCACGACTATCTTTAAGCTCAATAGCCGAGATCATCCGAAGTGCTAATGGTTTTGAAAAAGGCCAAGAAGTATTTTATTTTCATTTACTATTTCCATTTTATTTTCATTTACAATTTCCCAACACTTAAATAAGCTAAAATGGCATGTAAAGTAAATTCTTGATGATACCCTACTATATCTAACACTACATCAATTTGTAAAGAATGAATGTTGTTGTTGAACGGGCGAATGTGCTGCAAGTTCACCTGTCAAGACGTAAAATCTAATTTTCTTTTCTAACTTTAAAATAAGTAAAAGTAAGCGGGTGCTGAGGTGGTTAGGGAAGAGTTGAGGGGTCATAGTTTTTGCCCTGGCTTTTCTCTGTATCTCATGACGGCTTATCGGAAAAAAATTCCTCCAAACTAGGGGAATGAGTGACTGCCAAAAATGTAAAGCAAAATTAACCACCATTACGTCCCGACCTACTTAAAGTATATACCTTCCCCCAAAGGAATATAATCCAATTAAAACATGTAGTGAGGTTATGACATCGATTATTTTCAGGCTGTTTGGTCCTCGGAGTCTTAAGTTGAGAGATCTAGTCACTAGTTGGTTAAATAAATACCATGACATGTCCTTGATATTATGAATGTGAACATTTTCTGTACGCGGTTTTTCTTAATCGAGTTATTATCTTATTCTTGTCTAAAAGTTCTTTACAGCTTAATTGGCGATCGCTTTAAACAGCTTCAAGGGCTCTTCCAAAAATATAATTGAGACAAACACGTCAATAGATCAATAAACAATGTTGAGGAGAGTCGATTGTGGTTACTTTTAGTATAATTGTTTCTCCGAAAAGATAAAGGCGTATCCACCAAAGGGGATTTAGTGTTATCAAATGGATGGAAATGAAATTTTGAAATCACAGACAAGTTTAGATCACCTTTCAACAGCACCAAATCTGGCAGTTATCAACCGACATGTAAACTCATGCTGTAAAAATTATATTTTAACTTCTGTCATATTTTTTTTATCCCTATGGTATGTCTGTCCATTTCAGAGCAATTTCACGAAGTGGAACTACAACATCTAGGAACTTAGTCAGTTTCATTTAATCTATTTTTACCTTTCAAAGACGAGTGTTCGTTAACAATTTGTGATTGGGTTCACTGCCTCCCGTACCATATCCTTCCGCCTTCCGTGCTTTTGTGCCCCTCTCCCTCCCGACTCCTGCCCTTCATTGAATTACTCCTGTCTTCAGGTTCAGAAAAAGGAACAGAAACCTGGGTTTTTGGCGAGCTGTGGCAAAACGTATCATTTTTTACTATTTTCTTTTCAGGGGAAGGAAGTAATTTTCTCATGGTAAAAAATTATTACAAGCCAGTTTTCACTGACCTGGTTATAACAGTTTGCCCATTCGTTTTAACATCTCACTATAGACAAGTCTCAGTCTATTAGCCAATCTAATATCTATTGCAGTTTCAAATGTGTGTTTATTTGTGTTTAGGAACTTTTAACATAATGGGATCATGCCATTTAGAAATGAAACCGAAAAGCCAAACGTAACGTTGAGAGAGTTTAGTACTCCTTTCTTAATCCATGCTTCTAGTTTTACTTAATTGCGTATCCATGGCGGGAATTATGATGTTCACAAATCTCGTTTTCATTGTGATTCATTGTGATAGTGGTTGTATTATGGTCGAAAATAATATGTCACATTACATTGTTTAATTATTTAGATTTCGTCGAGAAGGTGAAGTCTTCTTTAAAACCAGGGGCATAGCATAAGATTTTTAAGTTACACGGACGAATAGAAAATATCGAGAGGCGAAGGCGCTCCAAATTAGGGGGTTTGGGGGTATGCTACCCCAGACAGATTTAAATTTAGGGCCCAGGAAATGCGATCTTCTGTGTTTTTTGCAGGCATTTTTAGTATATGAAATAGATGCTAAGGAAAAAGCATCAGTAAATGTACATTATTCATTCTAATGTTATCGGTCATGGCACAACTGTGGAAATTGTACATACATTTATACACTAGTATTATGCAGCCATGTGATTGCCTGATTCTAACGATAGGTATTTACAGAGACGTGTAAGTCTTCCGTGGAATGCTTTTTCATTGCCGCACCCAGAAAACGCTGAGGCTGATCAACATAGCCTATGACGGAATTTGACCAGACTCGCTCTGTTCGCTGGGGAATTTCGACTGTCACAGCTCGCGAGACATCGAAAAATTCATTCATGACCTATCACGTAACTGATATCACTGTTATATTGTTCAGTCGAAATGCTCGCAGAAATTGTCCTTTTTTGCAGTTTGTATATTTTGAAAACAAGCGCTAGCTCCAGACAAACTAATAAATAGATACTCAGAGGAGACACTGTCACCTTTATGTCTTGGGA